ACTCCCTTTATGCACAAACTTTACAGACACTTTCTTTAAAGGGAGTGTTCGCGAAAAATGAAAGGGGGTATAGGCTTAATGCGATAAAAAAGCGCTTTTGATCGATACTAATCTTACTTCTATCTGTTGCGTCTATAAGGAGAAAATTGTTAGAAACGACTCACACGGAAGAACGCAGCGCCCATACAAATTCGGAAAGATGCAACATTCAACTCGGATCGTAAACAAATCAATTTAATTCCAAACAAATCATTCAGATATTACAAACAATAGTAATCGGTTATTTTTCGACGCATTCATATATAGTTAATATTTCATAATATTTTTGATTTTGTTTTTTTAGATTAATTTTCGCTGGCGCTGGATTTTCGAACATTCCTGGAAAATATGAAAATGTCGTCTTCATTATCAAAAATCCTCGAAACAGGAAATAATGTAACTCTCAAATCATGAAAAATACAAAATATTAAGAAATATCAACTATTTACGAATGCGTCGAAAAATAATCGATGACTATTGTTTGTAATATCTGGATAATTTGTTGGGAATTAAATAGATTTTTTTACGATCCGAGTTGAATGTTGCATCTTTCTCAATTTGTATGAACACTACGTTCTTCGGTGTGAGTCGTTTTTAACAATTTTCTCCATATAGACGCAACAGATAGAAGTAAGATTAGTAGCGATCAAAAGCGCTTTTTTATCGCATTAAGCCTATACACCCTTTCATTTTTCGCGAACACTCCCTTTAAACCAAAACTTTACAAACCCTTGATAGATGCACCATTAAAAAACCTCACGAACACTCCTTTAAAAAAAACCCGGACGGGCACTCCCTTTAAAAAAATTCCTGACAGACACTCCCTTTAAAGAAAATCCTGACGGACACTCCGTTTAAAGAAATTTCTAACATGCACCCCCTTTAAAGAAAACCCTGACGGGCACTCCTTTTAAAGAAAACCAGGACGGGCACTCCCTTAAAAAAACTCTGACGGGCACTCCTTTGAAAGAAAATCCTGACGGACGCTCCCTTTAGGAAAACCTCTTGGACACTTTCTTTAAAGAAATCCTGACGGACACTCCATTTAAAGAAATTCCTGACGGACACTCCCTTTAAAGACTGAGTTACGAGGTGGAAAAAGGGGGGATGAAAAGGTTTAATATGGACCCTAGTTTTCAGCCTTTATTATTTTTTATTAGATTATTTAGCTTGAAATTATGCATGTTCTCATACCCTAGGGATATATATATACTGGGGAAAACAGGAGTAGAACTGGGGGAAATATATTAAACAACAGGAGGGAGGAGGGGGGACAAGGGGGGAGTGGGGAAAAGTAGAGTGAGGGGTGAGTGGGGAAAAGTAGAGTGAGGGGTGAGGGGGGAAAAGTAGAGTGAGGGGTGAGGGGGGGGAAGGAACTTTATATGAAGAAGAAGAGAGAAGATTAAAACTAATGAAACTAACAATATTGTGTACTTACTACATCAAACACAGTTCATTGTACACACACACATAGTGACACACACACACGTCACAAAAAATTACTATTTTTATTATTTATCCGATGATTATCTCAGAAATAATTAAGGTTAGATTATTTTTACCCAATAAAGAGACTGCTATGTAATGTCAAATTACCTTTTATCTAAAGGAACTGAGCTTTTGCCAAAAATCTAATTTTCTAATCTCTATATCTTTGCAACCTGATAGTGCAAACCTTTGATATTTCAAGCTCAGGCTTTTTGATCCAGCAGAATTCACAATTTGAAAAATAAAAGGTCTACGACATCGGGTGGCAACCATATAGGGATTCAAAAATTAGAATTTGTGACAAAAACTCATTTCCTTTTGACAAATTCCTCAAGTGTTTCAGAAGCAAAAAGCGCTAATAATTGTGTAGGAAAACAAAATTGAAAAGAATATATTTTAAAAGAAAAAAATATGGATTTATCATGCTTTCTTGGTCGGGCAAATCTTTTTGGGGAACTGTTGCACTATAGTTTCAGTAGAAGTAAATATAAGCGCCGATAGAAGGATTAGGAGAGAAATAGAAGGATAAATGTTACCGCAATTCAATTTCTATTGGTTTAGAATAGACAGCAAACACATTACTGTTCCCTGATTGGATCAGGCGCTAATGGACTCGGCATACAAGAGTTGTTGGTAATCTGACATCGTTCACTTTAACAATCAAATTGTAGGCTACAGTATAATTTTTTTTTGTTGGGGTGGATATATTTTAGGAG